GTTGTGGTTGGAGTAGTAGTTGGAGTTGTGGTTGGAGTAGTGGTTGGAGTTGTGGTTGGAGTAGTGGTTGGAGTAGTGGTTGGATTTGTGGTTGGAGTTGTGGTTGGAGTAGTGGTTGGAGTTGTGGTTGGAGTAGTGGTTGAAGTAGTGGTTGGAGTAGTGGTTGGAGTTGTGGTTGTAGTTGTGGTTGAAGTAGTGGTTGGAGTGGTGGTTGGAGTTGTGGTTGGAGTAGTGGTTGGAGAAGTGGTTGGAGTAGTAGTTGGAGTGGTGGTTGGAGTTGTGGTTGGAGTAGTGGTTGTAGTAGTGGTTGGAGTTGTGGTTGAAGTTGTCGTTGGAGTAGTGGTTGGAGTTGTGGTTGGAGTAGTAGTTGGAGTTGTGGTTGAAGTAGTGGTTGGAGTAGTGGTTGGAGTTGTCGTTGGAGTAGTGGTTGGAGTTGTGGTTGGAGTAGTAGTTGGAGTTGTGGTTGGAGTAGTGGTTGGAGTTGTAGTTGGAGTGGTGGTTGGAGTAGTGGTTGGTGTTGTCGTTGGAGTAGTGGTTGGAGTTGTGGTTGGTGTAGTAGTTGGAGTTGTGGTTGGAGTAGTGGTTGGAGTTGTAGTTGGAGTGGTGGTTGGAGTTGTGGTTGGAGTTGTGGTTGGAGTAGTAGTTGGAGTGGTGGTTGGAGTAGTGGTTGGAGTTGTGGTTGGAGTAGTGGTTGGAGTAGTGGTTGGAGTGGTGGTTGGAGTAGGTTGGAGTAGTGGTTGGAGTTGTGGTTGGAGTAGTGGTTGAAGTTGTGGTTGGAGTAGTGGTTGGAGTAGTGGTTGGAGTAGTGGTTGAAGTTGTGGTTGGAATAGTGGTTGAAGTTGTGGTTGGAGTAGTGGTTGAAGTTGTGGTTGGAGTAGTAGTTGGAGTGGTGGTTGGAGTAGTAGTTGGAGTTGTGGTTGGAGTAGTGGTTGAAGTTGTGGTTGGAGTAGTGGTTGGAGTAGTGGTTGGAGTAGTGGTTGAAGTTGTGGTTGGAGTAGTGGTTGGAGTGGTGGATGGAGTAGTGGTTGGAGTTGTGGTTGGAGTTGTGATTGGAGTAGTGGTTGGAGTAGTGGTTGGAGTAGTAGTTGGAGTTGTGGTTGGTGTGGTAGTTGGAGTTGTGGTTGGTGTTGTGGTTGTAGTTGTGGTTGGAGTAGTCATTGGAGTAGTGGTTGGAGTTGTGGTTGGAGTAGTGGTTGGAGTAGTAGTTGGAGTTGTGGTTGGTGTGGTAGTTGGAGTGGTGGTTGGAGTTGTGGTTGGAGTAGTGGTTGGAGTTGTGGTTGGAGTAGTGGTTGGAGTTGTGGTTGGTGTAGTAGTTGGAGTTGTGGTTGGAGTAGTGGTTGGAGTAGTAGTTGAAGTTGTGGTTGGAGTAGTGGTTGGAGTTGTGGTTGGAGTTGTGGTTGGAGTAGTAGTTGGAGTAGTGGTTGGAGTAGTAGTTGGAGTTGTGGTTGGTGTAGTAGTTGGAGTAGTGGTTGGAGTTGTGGTTGTAGTTGTTGTCTGGGTGGTTGCGACTGGAGCTATTGGTTGTGCTGCAGTAGTAGTTGTAGCTGGAGTCGTAGTTATTGGACTTGCAGTTGTAATTTGGTCCGTAGTTGTTGGGGATGCAGTTGTTGTTGGCAATACAGTTGCATTTGCTGTAATTGTAGATAAATTGTATTAGCAAAATATATTGTGTTTAATGGCACTGTGCAGATAATCATTCCTAAGTTAATAACTCCAGTTATTCTGAATCAGTTTTCACACATGCACAAGTTTGTGCATTTCTCAAAACTATTAGTTCCAAAGGCAAAACCTGGTTGATAACTTATAAATGAGTCACTTCTTCAAAATGCATACCAATCATTCATGTTAGTGTCATCAACATGAAGTCCCGACACTGTGTTTCTGTTCAAGCTAGTCAGATGACTTTGTCAAGTTTTCATTACATGACAAAGTCATTTGACAAAGTCGTTCTTCCAGCGAGAATGTTACCTTTCTCGCTGTAAGTGTTTTCTACTGCAATAAAGTAAGATTTAGTGACACTGGTTGAAAATGCTCTAGATATCACCATACACTGTGTGCACAATCATTTGAAATAGTTACTCTCTCTGAGGTAAATGTTTACCAGACATGGAATGTGATGCTTCACTATTTTACTGCATGTGCATTTTGTAATTTCAATTTGTTCACAACATTGTACAAACCTATTTGGAACCAGCATAAACCCCCTTTGGCTAAAGCTGTGCACAGTGTTCACTGAAAGCTGAGGTTGAGGCTACTGGACAGACATTCCTCAATCTGGCAGACATTTTCAGGAAAGAATGAAAAATAAATGCATAAAATTGTAAACATTTATGTTTGTAATGACCCAAACAAAGTTTTACAGCATTTATAGGTGTAATTTGTTTTGAAACACAGTGATTGAGAACAGTCAAAGGAAACACAAATAAACACAAAATTCTGTTTTTCAATGAATGTTCCTGTGGAAAAATGTGATTGCCCAGTTAAAACGAAAAAAGAACTGTGTCTTATCACACCTGAATTCAGAGTCTCAGCCACCAGCCCGACCTGATTACTGCCAAACTGCTCTCAATTAAAACATGTAACGACATTAAGACCTCCCTGACTAAGGGATGTACACAAAAAGATTCTCAGAAGCTACACATTTTGACAAGATCCAAAAAAATCAAGAATAAATGTGACAAAAAGTAATTTGCAGCTACCCATCTGGTTTTGTATCACAATGCAAAACCATTTCTAAAGCCATGGGCCTCCACTGGACACCAGTGAGAGTCGTCACCTGGAGAAAACATGGCACAGTAGTGAGCCTTTTGCAGGAGTGAGTGACCAACGTCAGTCCAAGAGCGCAGCGACGATTCATCCTCGAGGTCACCAAACACCTCAAAACAACGTCTGGAAAGGTCAGAGTTTCTGCCGCCGCCATAACAAAGAGACGGAGCAAAAATGGCCTCCATGGCAGAGCTCTGAGAGGAAAACCACTGCTGAGCCAAAGGAACGTCAACGCTCATCTCAGTTTCTCCAGAACACATCTTCATGATCCCAGTGACTTCTAAGAAAACTGTGAACTGATTAATTTTACTATAATTAACAAAAACAATGTAAATAACAGAAACTGAGAACATCTTTAACTGAAATAAATAAAAACAGTAAATAATGGGGAGAAACTAACTAACTGGAAGTACATTTTGCATTGATAAAACTAACTGAAATGTACTGAATTTATGTGTCTGGAAAAGAATCACTACGAATCGCTTGACGGAAGTTGCTGCCATGAAAGCTGGACCAACCAGTTGTTAGGTTTAGAGCCTAAAGGCAATCACTTTTTCACAGAGCCATCCTGGATTGGAGTTTTTCTAGCTTTACAATTGACACCTAAGTTTATAATTTACATTTTGTGTTTACTTGTGTTGTCTACGAGTAATATTTAAATATCTCATATTTAAAACAGTTCTGTATACAGGATGAGTTCCAGCTCTGTTTTGCTCTCCGCATTGTTACATTTCATTCATTGTACTTTATTTGTTTCCTCATTTTAATCCCACTTAAAATCTTCTTACTTTGTGAACCTTAATTTTCCACCATTTAATAATGGGAAAAGCAGACAGAAATTCAGACGTTTGTCACATTACCTTCTCTTATAATAATGTCTAACAAGATCCTTACTTAGAAAAAGAATAAGATCAATTATAGAATTATTGTGAATATTTACCCTGTCCCAAAGCTGCATGAATGTATCCAAGAAAACATAGGATGATGATTTTATACTCCATGATGAATAGTGTTGTCCTTTACACCGTTCTGCAGAGACAGATAATTTCTGTTGGTGAATATGGTTAAGTCTGTGTAATGCGCCTCCCACAGCAATGAAGAGGAAGTGGCATGTAACAATTAACACCTAACAATTGAGTGTTGTTATAAGACAAGGAACATAAGTGTTGCTTATGTTTTAGATAAATAGAAAGAGAAGTAAAAACAGAAATTCACCCAAAAATATGAAGGATACACTGAAATTATCCCAGTAAATCTGGATATTAAAAAAAGAAAGAAAAAGAAAACAACTGGTGTTTTTCTATATGCTATATTCTATTTTTTGAATTATTAATTGACCAACTAGGTAGATCAGATCTATACACTAACAACTCCATCCAAAATGAATAATATGTAAAGAACAATGGTGTACCTATACATTGTGAAGTGTACAATTCAGAGACTGAGGTCCAGACAAAAGTCAGGGAGCAAAAACAATCTTTAATACATCTGCAGACGGAGAGCAAGAAATACACTGCATTAGGCACAAATTAGCATCTGCTCTGACGAACTCACAGTTGCATAGTTACTTTATTTATCTCTCTTTACTACCAAGACGGAGACTCAATCTTCTAAGACCAAACAAAAGAAAAAAAAGAAAAACATACGAAACCTTGTATGCTCATTCACTGTAATGTTTAAACTAAATACTCCATCTTCATGCAAAAAACAGCAAGTTCCTAAATAACTGTCTGGGGAAGTTCAGCAACCCTGGGAAACTTAGACACATCTTGTTTCATTAGTTTGTACACCTTTTCCAGCTGCACAGAAAAACACCTGTGATACAAAAAACATTACATTTATATGATATTCATTCTATATTCAAGTTTTCTAAATAAAAGACTGCTGATTATCTGATTCTCTCAGATGTAGAAACTACAAAGGTTTTTCCTTTGAAGGTGCTTTGCTTTTACTTTTTGTTACTCAAGCTATTACAGGAAATCTGAAGCGAAGCTGCCAAACTGGTTTTGTATGCACACTGTTAATGTCAGCTGCTTTTGAGGAATTCAAAGTAAACTTTGAGGGATTCAAAAATGTTTGAAATATTGGAATATGGTTTTTAACTTTAAGACAAGATATAGCTGTAGATTGATTATTTTTTTAAACTGCCAGAAGTCAAAATTTGACCGTCACTACGGTTCCTAGCCACAACTTGTTTCTGTCTGCTCATTTCAGTGTAACACAATCTGAGCATGCGCAATGATGCGGAGCTAGCAGCTACGGTTTCAGTTTAGCGTATTTGAGCTTATTTTTATTTCTAAATGCAGCAAATGGTCTGGATTGTTTGGGTTAAGTGAATATTGTATACATTTAATCTATATTTGTAAGCATTGTGTGTCGATTCAATGGTTTTAAATAACACTGTCTGCTTATTGCGTGTCATTAGCCTTTTGGTTTTTAGCCTTAACAGCTCAAAACAACGCTGGAGCTCAAATTACAAACAATCCTGTCTGTTTTCGACTTAATATTATTTATGTCTATGAACGATTACCTCTCTTAGACGTTTCTAAGCTCATATTGCTAGTGCTAGCCGTGCTGGAGAGCCAGTTTGGCGACAATGTGAGGCGTGTGGTGCGGGGAGCAGGATGGACAGAGACTTGTTGCGGCAGTGTCTGGTCCATCATGGAGAGACGCTGTTCAACAAACTCAAATGTGAGCAAACGGAGAACCCGGACTTCCAGGCGGTGGTGACGGACCTGTGCAAAGCCACGTATGACGGAAGGTATGGCTGCGTGTTGGACTCGCTTTCTCTGCGACATTACGCCTGAATTTAAAATGATTTGTTCACGTAGTTTATCACATTTTAGTCACACGTGCTGCCCTGGATTCGATGTCTAAATAATCAGTAGAGTAACGGCTATTTCAAAGCTTTTGGGACGGAAAAAGTCCTTTTTATCCGTAAAACAAGTGTTGATGCTAGAGATGGGCGGTAAGGAGTTAGAATTTTATCGCGATATTTGGTTATAATATTCCGATATCGATAAACATCATTAAAGAAACTCAGTTTTTTGTTTTAGTTTTTTGTGGCTGTGATTGCATTGGACAGCACTCATTCCTCACCAAACTCATTTATTCTAAAAGCATTCCCATTTGAACTCAGAACTTACTTTAAAAAGTGTGATTTTGTATCACTAACCTCCACATTTAATCATACTGTCAAATTTATTGACGCTCTCTTGGAGCAGAAAGCAAATAAATGAGTCAAAATAACTTTTCCATAATATTGTCAGTTTTGTTTTTCAAAAAAATCAAAATTCTTTCACTTTTCACTATAAGTGATGAACAATGTGATAAACTACCAATCCACTTAGATGGATTAAAATATCTGTTTTTCCATTACAATCAATAAAATACTAATTGTTTGTGAAATAAAATGGAAATGAGGCCTTGAAACAGAACAATTTGCACTTAGTTCATTAAAAGTTTTTGATAATCTTAAATATTGAACAAACTTACCTAGTACATCCCAACTACATGTTTATTTAATTTATTTTCTGTTAGTGCTGTAAAGTTAGATACATGTGTAACCCTTATAAATTAGATACAACAACCACACCTGGAATCTGTTCTGGTTTTATGGTTTGTGTCTTTACCAATGCAGGGTCACAAGGTCACAATGTCAATCTATGCCTTTCTGCAAACGTCAAACCTGACATCAGATATTAATATAAAGTTTTGCATTTGGAAAGCTTTTTTTGTGTGTGAAATTTGTACATTTGTTTAAATGTACAAATTGCTCTTTTCACTTTCTTTCATTCTTCATTCTGAACTTCATCTCTGTGATTATACAGAGAAGCAGATTAAAGTTTTCAAATTGTTCTGTGTGCCGAACTCAGCTTTCTGGGTTTTATGGGAACGCTGCTAATTAAGTGTTAAATTGTTGTGTGTGAAGCAGAGCTGAGGAACATGCCAGTCCACTGGTGGAGCAGTTCATCGCCAGGAAGGCTGACATTCTCTTCTGCCCAGCATGGAAGACCGCCGACCCGCCACCACAGGACGAAGAGGAGGAGGACGGAGGTGTGTGTTGATCCACTCAAACTACAGGCATCTCTTAAAGCACAAACCAGGTTTTAGAAATTCAGTTCAATGATACTTTGTTCATTCCAAAGATAAATTAAATGTTACTGTAACTCAGATCATCTAAGTATCTTCAGGGAGTTATTGTCATGTTGTGAGCAGGAAGGATCTCCAGTAGCAGTCAGTCTGAAGAGGCCTCTGACTGAACACCGATGCTGCATTTCCATTACAAATGTGGGCAAAATGTTGTTTTTACACAAATGTTTGCAACTGGGGTGTTTCTATTGAGTAAGAAATGCAGTTAAAATCACATGAATAAGTTTGTTCATGCGATAAGTTATTAAAAAACACGACATCATCCTCCTGTCACTTTCTGTCATCTTTGACTTTTTCACATCTGGTTGTTGATTATGTGAGTCGATGGGAAAAAAGTCTTTCCATTGAAATGTATCATTTTAATGGAGCCGGAAAGCTCCATTAAAAAACATTTAATTAAAGATCTTATGAATTAGTTTTGTCTTATTTGAAGAGTACTAAGACATTTGCACTAGAAACTAGACCAAAGTTACTTTGTAAGGTTTAGTTTTTTTGAGGTTCTGCTGCTGCTTTTTAAATCTGTGTCTGGTTTTATGGTTAGAAAGTCAGACATGAATAAGTAACTTTATTATTGAGTTTTGTCTACTAAAAGATTATAAATCAAGACTCAGAACAAAATGAATGAATATGACATAAATAGAAAACAAATCTTAGTTTCTGATTTCATTTAGTAATTTTGTAGTGTGTGTGTTCTTTTGTAGAGCCCTATGCCATCATGCCGCCAGTGGAGTTATTCATGGAGTTGCCGTATGAGGAGAGAAGATCCATGATGTACCGGGACTTGGAGAGAGGAGACGTTGTGGTGGGACGCATCAACAACATTCGGGAATATGGCTTCTTCCTCACGCTGCTGTGCATGGCAGGAGGCCTGAAGAGAGACATAGAGGACCTGGAACTTTCTGTGAGTCGCTGCGGTAAACTTGAGGAAGAACCTGATTTATCAATTTCCCAGCAGCTTTTATGTGTGCAGCAGCTCTAGAGTTGTTGAATGGCTGCCAGCAGGTCTGAATGATATTTTACTCCAGCCCACAAGAGGAATTGATTTGTTGCCATAGATCCTTTTTCTGTCATGTGCAGTTTGTGAAGTCAAGCATTTAAATAAAGTCAGATGATTGTTTTAACATACATTATTCTTTGTTCACTCAAAATCACAACATTAATTGAGCCTATTTTTAATTCTAATGTTTTTACGATATTTTCTAAAAACCAGCCTTCATACAGGAATCATATGAAGTGAAGCTGGTTTACTAAAACATCTTCCAAATACACTACATCAACTGAAAGTTAGCATGCATATTTCACTGTTATTGGTGTATTAAAAAAAACTATCTGAAATAAATAAATGAAGCTCAGCCTATTTATATTTATGATAAACTGTGCAGTTATTGTTTTGTCTATTTTCTGTTGTTCGTGCTCTCAGGCTCTCTGCCATGTCAAGGAAATCCCCTCCACCAGCAGCCATGATGATCCTCTCTCCTACTATCAGATCGGAGACTTGATTAAAGGTGTTTGTTAAGTGGAAAGTGGAATATTTATTAACATAATTGATGTTCATTTCCTTCATTGCATTTGGAAAAGTGTAATGTTTATCACTTTTTCACTATTGGTAAAAGTTTTTATTTTTTTTCTATGTAAATCTCTTTGAACTGACTTGTTGATTAAATGTGGTTTATAAATAATTACGGATGCACCGATAAGAAGATTTGGTGTCGACATCCAATGTCAATATTGCTGTGATGGCCGATAACCTATATTTACCAATATTCCATGCATTTATTTCACTACTGTTTTGACACCTTTGGAGAAAAAGTTAAAAAATAAATATTGGTTGTTCATTTTGGCCCAATAGGTTAAAAAACCAAAGTCAAAATTTATTTATGTAGCGCATTTAAAACGGCCTCAGCTGTTCAAAGAGCTTCACAATAAACACAACAACACAGGTAGGTAAATGATGAGGCATAAATAAAATTATGTTCAGTAAAAAAATAATAAGACAATTATAAAATTGGCAGAAAATACCAAAATCTAAAAGTGACAAATACCGATTTTGGTGCCAATATATTGTGCATCCTTACAAATAATATAAATTCTGGCCCACATTTTTATATCGGTGCTGATATTTCTTTAAGTTTTCCATCTTATTTGATAGTAAAAAGATTTTTTCCTGAAGCAGTTTTTTTATTTTGCTCTGCAGCTGGAGTGAAAGACATCGATCGGTTCCAGGAGAAGATCACAGTGTCCCTCCACCCGGCCTCGCTCTCTCCCAACCTGGTTCACATCAAGCTGGGCGTCATAACCAGAGAAGATCTGCCCATACATTACAGGTAGAAACGCACTGCACTCTCTGAACTACCATCTGGTTTAGCTGCAGATACCTTAGCAGCTGTTAAACCAGTCAGTCATGCTGCTCAGTAATGCAGCACTGATTGATTTCTTTGTTCCCTTGGAAGTTTAAGTGTTAAAAATTGTGATATTTTTGTTGAAAGTAGATTATTTGATGTGAAAGTTTAGGTCAAAATGCTAAATGTTAAATTCCTAAAACTTGAATAATCATCCAGTTTTCATTAAGGTTCATTATTTGTGTTAAAGCCTGTTGAAATAAGCAGTAAATCAATTAATTCCATGATAAATTAAAATGAACTCAATAATTTTCATTTGCTTGATTTATTCTTTTTTTCTTTTTTCTCACTTTCTGAAAACTGCTTTTGTTTTCAGTCTGATGCTTTGGTCTCAACTAGACTTGATAATTTTGTTCATTATTTATTTTATTTAATTGTTTCTTTTCTTTATTTTGGATACTTAAAATATTTAAAGTTTATCGACTGACTTGAATGTTTTATATTACTTGAAAATGGTCTCCAAACAACAACATTATCGTTTATTACCATAACTTCTCCCAGCAGGCTTTGCTGCAGTGACAGGCCTGTTTGTGTTTGTTGCTCAGTCGTAGCGTTCGCGCCGCCGCCGACTCCAGCGAGACGTACGAACGAATCCTCACCAGGTGCCACGGCTGCGAAAACCCGTCTGTGGTGGAGTATCTGCTGCAGAAGGTGGGAATCAGTGACACCAACCCGCCGTCGATGATGAGAGGGTTACAGTGGTGAGCTGTCTAAAAACCCTTTCATTTTGGTCTGAGTTTTGCTTTAAAATGAAAGTATGGAGTGAAATGCTGGATGCTTTGTTGTCACTGAACCGTTTCGTTCTGATTCTTTGATTTTCTGTTTCCTGATTCTCACATGGCTGCAAAAGTCAAGCAACATGTTAAACAGCATTTCTCTCATTCCTGTGACAGGCAGAGTGATGCCTTTGTGTTCTGCTTCTCAAAAGCTCAGACGAACTTTATAAAGTTTCTGGTTTTGTGTTTTTTATTCTTCACAGTAAACTTTTCCAGGAGGAGGATTTTGCTTTGGCAATCAGAAAGAAGCAGTCTGCATCCTGGGCCCTGAAGTGGTAACATTACTCTGCTAACTTTGTAGTTAATATTCGGGGTGCACTGATTTATCGACCAGGCCGTTTATCGGCGCCGATTTCCTTCATTTGTGACATCAGTGATCGGCTGATATTTACATGTGAAACCGATCTTATCCATCAATCTCATCTGTGGCTTTTATTTGCACAGAATGAATACTAAAAACATGGAAGTGATTGGAAAACCATCGTCAAATTCAGACTGTATGGAGATCCGATAGTCACAAAAATCCACAAAAAAAAAAAAAACGTATGGAGCTCCGATAGTCATATTTATTTCTGTTGTCATGGAACCAGCGGTGGAAAAAAATTGAAGTACCAAATACCGGGAGGTATCTGTGGCTCTTGGACTGAGTTTGTGCGGCCCCAAACTAAAATTCAAATGTGATACAAATTTGGCCTGTAGATGCAAAAGGAGACTTAAAAATTACAAAAATGATTTTCTTACACAGAAAAATGTAAAAAACAACACAAAATATCCGTCCTTTTATAACCAACTTTTAACAAGAACTAAAAACAAGTTTATCCAGAGACTGTTACTGAAAAGCTGAAATCAGCTTCTATTCTTTCTTGAAGCTGGCTAAATATAGGACACATTTTGAAACAAAGTGACCCAAATCCTGTTTTCACTGACAATAACTGGAAACTAGACGTCTTTGTTTTAACTCAACAGGCAAAATTAAAGTAGATTTGAATTTCTGCAAAAGGTTTTTTGAGAGTAACCTTGGCCCTGATACACTATTGTAAAAATCTACAATAAATATTTTTCTTTTAGGTTGGTGTATGTCCTGCTTTTTTAACTTTTGAGTTAAAAATTTTGTCCCACATGGCAAAAAGTTTGGACACCCCTGATTAGGTTGTGAAAATGGGGTGTTTTATTTTATTGCTCCTGCTCTCCCATTAGAGGTTTGACTGACAGACCGCCCCACCAGGTGCAGCGACTTTCTCGCTATATTTAGCGACATTTCAGACAAAATAAAAAACGAGTTTGGACCAAAATTGGAATCAGCAGGTCAGGCTTTTTAAAGATCGGAAAGTTGCAATAGATGCACCGCAGCTAACACAGATATCATTTCACGTGTGGTCGTTTGTTCATTGACCTTGATACAAAGCTGTTCTCTGCAGTGTTCGCGCAGGTGTGGACCACTTCAAACATGGCCGCCACGTGGAAGCCATGAACGAATACAACAAAGCTCTGGAAATCGACACCAATAATGTGGAAGCGCTGGTGGCACGAGGAGCTCTGTGGGTTTACTTCCTGGTTTTACGCATCTCTGTTTGCTTATCTTGTGTAGATTCAATTGTCTCTCAGGTTATAAGCAGTTCTTCACATTTGTTCTTCGATTTGTTCCTCATACCGATGAGAAGCATGAGGATGAATATTTGCAATCCAACACCCCTTAATGTTGTGTATAAAGTATGAAGCGTCTTTGGCTTGTTGCCTTTTATTGGTCTGGATGTAGTAATGTTCTCAGCTCTGAACCTTCAGAAACACATAAACACAGTTACAAAGTCGGCCTTTTATCACCTGAAGAACATTTCCAGGACTAAACGACTCATGCGTCAGTTTGAGAGAAACAAGAACCAAACAGCCGAAACACTGAGTTCCTCTAAATCAAGACTAAAATCCCTTTGCTTTTAGATGAGTAAGGAAGATTTTAACGATGGCACTTGGCAAAATTGGATTTCTGTTATTGGTAAAGAAATGAAACATCTGCTGAATGTGTAATTTTTAATCAGATTAATTGATTAATCAAACACAGAAAACTGCAAAGGAGCTGAAAGTCTGAGTTCCTTTAAATTCAGACTGAAAACACAACTGATTGATTTTGAACCATAATAAATGAAACATTGACCAACATATTTGATGTGTATCCATGATTTAATGCTAATCTACTAAATGTTAGTTACTGGTTTCAAATTGGTCAATAAATGATGTTTTCATGATATAATAAAAATTAATAAAGTTACTTGATTGATCGATTGTTTTTCCTCCTGCTAAGGTCAAGTTTGGCTGAAATCTCAGACGTTATCTCTTCCATTTTCTTGTTTTTACTCCCCAGATATGCTAACAAAGGCAGCATCGTGAAGGCTATCTCGGACTTCGAGCTGGCTCTGGAAAACTGTCCGGACCACCGGAACGCCAAGAAGTACCTCTGCCAGACTCTGGTGGAACGAGGAAAACAGTGAGCAGCACCTTTTGCTTTTCAAGTTGGACGTGACTAAAGGAAATAAAACAACTGAGTTATTTTATCTTGTCTGTGGTACATCTGTCCGAATATTATAAAAAAGCTAAAGTGGTTAAAATCAGAAATTTGGCCGGTAGACACAGATGGAGACTTCGATTGTCACCAACATAATTTTCTCACACAGAAATATGTATAGAACACAAAGTATTTGTTTTTACAACAAAAACTAAAACCAAGACTTTTACTGGAAAGCCAACTTTGCTGCAGCCAAATCAGCTGTTATTTTTTCTTAAACATGGTCAAATATAGCAAACATTTTGAAACAAAGTGACCCAAACCTGTTCTTATTACTGAAAATAAATGTATTCAGCCGAGCCCAAAAGAAACTGAAAACTGGACGTCTTTGTTTTAATTCAGCAAATAATATCAGCAAAGCTTTGAAACACAATCCTGATTAATTTAAAAAGTTTCTCAGGATCAAATTTTGACATAGTTTCACTGTCAGCATGTAGAAAAACTTGCTTGTATTCAGAACTAACAGTCTAATCATAGTAGGTTGTAGGTATTAATTGATTATATTTGCATAATTTAATTGGTTAAATTCTGAAAATCCATTAAAAATAATTTTAAAAACCATCAGATTTGTTTCGTGGCGTCCGTTGTAATCTGGGAATAAAACTCATCAGGACAAACTACATCTGATGTTTACGTGAAAACTTGAAATCTGAATTCTTGTTCCAGTTTCCCGTAAAGGTTAAAGGTCACTGCAGTGCAGGCAGCTGTAAATGGGCCATGAAGGCGTCAGAAACACAATGAATGTTTTTGTTCTGTGTCTTTGTGTCTGACAGACTGGAAGAGCAGGAGAAACTGGTGACAGCGGAGGGATTGTACAGGAGAGCCTCGTCTCTCGATGACTCCAATCTTGAGGCCAAAGACGCCCTGCGCAACATCAATGACACCATTCAGGTGAGCGGGGCAGAACAAAATGCCCCCACAAAATACTCCCACAAAATGCCCCCACAGGTCAAAATACAGGAGAAAAAATTACAATGTTAGCTACAGAGCTAAACAAACATGTTTAATGTTTTTTTTAAAGTGAGCTGTACCTACAGGTGCAGTAAATAAAGTAGTTCTGTTTTTCTTATGAAAGGAAATAATTCTTCAAACTTTTCATGTTTACAATTTTTTTGTATTTTAACCTTTTGTAGAGTTTCAACAAAATGAACTGAAGCCTTGAGTTTTTATCTGACAGCGAAGTTTTTTAACAAATTGACATTTTTTTCAGTAAACTTAAAATCTGTTCTATAAATGAAGTAAATATAATACAAAAGAAATTCCTTTGTTGTCTGACAATAAAAAAATAAAATAAAGAGTCGTCTGTGACCTCTGGATCAGCTGATGAGGAGAAACTGTTGCATAATGTGACGTTCATTTATTCGTAGTTAAACTTCGGTGAACAGTTTCTGTTTTATGTCGGGTCGCTGGGCGTCTTCCTGACTCTAAGGTTTGTAATACTGATGAGGTGTTTGGTATGTTTGTGTTTCTGCTCCACCTTATACTCTGACCTTTGACCTCCTGACTCTCTGCGCCTGCCTTGTGGGGGGCTGGAAACGCACAAACTGCGCTGTGCCAACGACTCTTCGTCCCGTGGGAACCGGTGCGCGGCGCGTAAACATGCTGCCAAACACGGTAACGTTGAAACCTTTTTTTATTTCAACCGAAAACAAAATGTTGTTTGAATCGCCACACCTCCGTCTACGGCCGCCGACATTTATGGTAAATATGTGACTGTTCATTTCTTCTTTATTAATTTTCCTTTTGAACATTAAAAATAATAATCGTGCGACTTTATGGATGGTTTTGATTTTGGGGCTTTCTGAACGGTGTGAATGTTTTTGAATCTGCCGCTCGGGGCTTTTTGCCTGCATGCTGCTGTCATGCCTTGTCTGTAAAGAAATCGATTCGCTTGCGAGAAGAAGCGCTCGCTAAGGAGGAAGTCAAAGCGACGAGCAGCCAGACCAGCGCTGAGAAATTACGTAAGATCTTAAAGGAGGAGAAAAGGTAGGTTGAGCCTCGCCGAGCGCACGACAACAAGTCAGATTCATTTTATTTTTCCAAACAAAAATGCTTTTCCAGCCGGAGGAGTTTCAGCAGATGTTTCTCGTTTTTAGGGCGAAGAAGAAACGCCCCAAAAAGCGATCCGCTTCCTCCTCCTCGTCCTCCTCCAGCAGCAGTAGTTCTTCTTCCTCGACGTCTTCCTCGTCCCACAGGAGGTCTAAGAAGAAAAAGAAAAAGCGGAAAAAGTCCGGGCGAAGAAGAAGCAAGCACCGCCGGAGGAAGAGTGAGGAGGGTAAGAGCGGGAAAGGCAGGATGGAGAAAGAGGAGGAGGAGGAGTTGGAGTGGTTTCCCGCGCCTCCCAACACCTCCGCTACTTTCCTCAACCAAAAGGGCGGCCTGGTGTTTGGAGGGGCGGAGGAGGACGGGGTGGGGGGCGACGGGAAAATCAGCCGGCTGTATTCTCTGGCAGCAGCTTCAGAGGGGGAAGAGTCGGATTCTTCCCACAGGCAGGGGAAGAGGAGGGACGGAGCGGAGAGACGGAAAACCAGCATAAGCCCGAAGAGAGACAGGAGGACAGAGAGCAGGGAAAGATGGAGGGAGGAGAGCAGAGGAGGATGGAGAGAAAGAAGCAGCGTGGAGGAGAATCACACCAGGAAACTATCCAGCTCTTCAGCTGAGGTGGAGTTTTCCCGGAAACCGGAATATTCCGTAAGGAACAGGATTAGACGCGACTCCTCCACCAGGAGCTCCTGCGATGGCGGTAGGTACGAGAGTAAGGAAGAGGCGGAGAGAGAGAGAACGTCGGATCCGGAACAGAGTGAAAAACCGGAGAGTTCTGGAGATCAGAACGGCCAGAGAGACAGAAACAAGAAGAACCTCCCGTCCAACCTGCTGGACATTTTCAACCAGATCGCTCAGTTCGAGAAAGAAAAGGGCGTGAAAGCAAAAAAATAAAGAGTCCACCACAAAACCAGAACCACGACAGCGTGTCAGGGCCACTGGAGGTATAAATGCATAAAAAAGGACATAAATCTAGATGTTTGTGACACGAACCGGCAAAAATTAGTATCAAAAAACAACAAAATTTGTGATTTTTCTCAAAAATTTACTAGAATAAATGAGACATTTCTGAACTTCAGCAGGTAATGATCTGCATCAAAAGGGAGAAAATTTGAATAATTTCACATATTTTCTAGAAGAAACTTTTAAATTACCCTTAAATTTTTTATTTTTAGAAATTTTCTGTTTCAAAAGTGAAACATTTTCATTTTTTTGAGTAATACATTTGTAATTTTTGTTTTTTCAAAAAGTTTCTGGGATTCATTTTAAAAATTTTCGTTTTTTCTCACAAATTCGGACATTCACTTTTCTTTTTAGAACGTTTCTGAGATTAATCTCAAAATGTCTGAGTTTTTTTTGCAACGATTTGAGCTCAGAAATTAGTTTTACTTTTGAAAACTGCTGAGCTCAAACTCAAAATAGTTTTGGTGGAAATGTTCTCCTTTTTCACATTTACACGCAGCGGCCCTGATTGGCCGTCACGCAGAAGAGACAAAATGAGAGGAAAAATGAAATTTGTTCAGTTGAATTTTTGTTCATGAAATCCTCCAGGGCCAAACCTCTTGCTTGTTGATCTTTTTACTTTCAGTGTTGAATAAATGAATAGTTTACACGACACGTCTTACCTCTCCTGATAAAACCCACTCTTAGTTTCCGCTAAAATATTTTGTCAAAACGTCACGAAGACATGATTTGTTTACGACCCGTCTTCCGTTGTGACCTGTCTCTGTGATTTCCCCGTTTACAGGAGAACCGTTGATTATTTTGACAAATTACTGCAATGACATTTTTAGTTTTATTTTATTTTACTGTTTGTTTTTTTAATGAAACAAGTTGCCTTTTGTTCTGCTGTGTGCCATGCTGCAACTTCCTCTGCACAAAAAGCAGACGGTTATGCTTCTATTCGTTCTCTTTTTTTATTTTTGCCTTAACACGATGCAGTCGTTTCAGCTGTAATCAGAGAGTATGTCGCCTGTCATAAAGTCATCTAATATGAACCAATAAAAGCATTTAACCTGTGCAACGTTAATGCAGTTTGTTTATTTCTGCCTCATCATGATAAACCGCACCACCAGTCAGTATTTTATATTTTATTTTCCCTTCACCAGTTTTAGAAAGTAAATATTTTTTCACCAGATCTCTTCAGATAGGCAAAGAAATTACACCATATATGTTTAATAATGATTAGAGTTATTATTAAACATATATAACATAAACACATGCAGAAACTTGCTTCTTTTAAAACAAAGTTCACATCAAACCTAAATAAGTTTATTCACACAATAAATAATTCAAACACAGAGCCGCCATCTTTCTACCACTTCCTGTTTGCACCAGTGGCGGAATCCGGTTATTGATCACGTGACACTTTCTCATGCCAAGAAAGTGTTTCCGTTGCAGATTTGCAAAATAAATGGCAAAGAAACCTTCCTCGTCATACCAGTAAAGTTTTTTTAAATTAAAAAAGTGTTTTGTTTTGAGTGGCTTTAATTAAATCAAATGTATGCAGAAAATTTTAAGGTTGATGGAAAAGCAGCTGACTCAACAGTTTTTCTTACTATTGTAGGTCATTGAGGTTTAAAAATCATTTTTTGTTTTCTCAGCAACCAAATTTGGGTGTTTATCTGTAAGCTGAACCCATACCTAATAAATCTAAATATTAATCACTTTTAGATTAAAATAAGGGTAATAAAACATTTTTTCACTAATATTTATGTTTATTAAGATCCACATCTACTTCAAAAAGTCCAACCCTTATGCTAGTTAATAAAGTGTCATGATTGAAAACATGTAAGCTTGCCATAATTTATCCATTTCTGCAGCAGTTTTAGCTCCTCTGTGCAGAGCAACGGGACGTTTTCATGCTGAAGCCACATTGTGGGAAACCTGGTCAAATATTCAGCTGTTTGAAGTTCAGTCACAGAAACCTTCCCGAGCGAAACGCCGCTGCTTAGCAGAGGCACACAGGACCAGGAAAAGTTGTGGAAAAGGATTCATTTTCCAGCCTGGCATTGATCCTGACCATGGGATTACGCCGCGGCCTGCGGTCCTGTTTGAAGTCCAATTCAGAGCTCGGACCGCCGAGACGTGAGACGCTCAGTCCAGCTCCAAACTTCAGTGGGAAATGGGAATCATCAAAGGACTTGCTTCAAGCAAAAAAGTCAACATATTGAGAGGGAAATAATAAAAGTTTCCTACCTTCAAACAGAAGAGAAGAAACTTTGCCATTTTCCTTTCTTCAGTTTTGATCAGTTGTAATTTTACTCGATTCTAATTTCTCCCATTGAAGTTGATTCATCCCACGGAGTTTCTACCAATCAGCGATCAGAAGGCGAAGCTGCGAATGATGATGTCATTTAGACATATCAAATAGATACAGTGATCGATGTCGGCATGTCAATAATATTTTATAACCTTATGCACAAAAATAAGGGGGAAAAACAGGCATATTATCTATTATAAAGCTGTTCCTGACACCTGCTAGCTGCATGCTAGCATGGAAATGCTACTGCTAAGGTCTGTGCTAGCAGTTAGCTTCAGACACACACCTGTAGATTTCATTCACGTTTTTTTAATGAACGAAGCTGATTTGGAAACATTTTCTTTTTTCTGATTTTGTTATTTTTTCAACCTATATAAATTATTTTCATTTTAAAATACCAAAATTTCCACTTTATATTTTGGTCCGTCTGATTGTGTACTTTTTAATCATGAAGTGATTGATATTTTGATCAGTCACTCAGTACTTGAGTAAACTTTTCACCAAATACTTTTTCACTCTCATTTGAGTATTTTCTGAAAATATGTTGAAATGTTTCTCCTTCTGATTTGGTTCAGTCTCTGGCTCTCTGCCCTCCCTGCTTGGACCTGGATGTGGGCGACCGTCCTGTTGGCTTATTGGAGCTTTAAGCTACTTGGTGTCACATATTTGATTTAATAACTGGACACACACATCAGTGGCGGTGCAACCAGTCATGCGTTGCCACAGTAAGCTACTTTGGGCTTAGCTGCCACCCTGAGGTTCTCCTCCTCCATCATTACTGGTCCCATCATCAGTGATGCTCTGCAGGCACCATGCGTCTCGCTCTATCTTGTTAGGCGGCAGATTAAGCACTAATATACGGTCCGAGAAGCCTCTTCATTTAATATTGCACACACAGATTCCTGATCCGTTACTTTCCGTCTCTGAAACCTGACGTCTTAATCTGTTGGTATGAAATACTTCCTGCTTCAATGCTCCTCATGCTCCTCATGCTCCACTCATTAGACCAGTAAAGAGTCACTGGTTTTACGTTTTGGTGCTCAGTAAAACCTATAGACACTGGGATTATTGAGTATCCTACTGTCATTTGTGCAAAAATAACAAGTTAAATTGTTATTTTGTGCATTTAAAACGACAGGTGTTGGTCTTGCTTTTATATTTTTATATTAAAATGGAAAAGTTTGAACAGAATAGATAAAGCTCTCAGCCTGGTGAGATGCAATAAACTCCAACATCTTCACTGCCAGAAATGGGCCAAAATTTTAAACATAAAAAGCAACAAATCACTCAATAAGATAAAGAGTATTTGGTGAAAAGTTGACTCAGGTACTGAGTAACTGATAAAATGATCAATCATTTAATATTTAAAAATGTTTTAAAGAAGAAAATGACAAAAAAAATAATCAGGGAAAAGAAAGTTTTTCTAAATCAGTTTCTTTCAGTAAAAACTACAGGAGTGTCTGAGTGGTGAATTTTTGGTTTATTTTTTATTCAGTGGGTTGAAAAGCCAGTAAAAAATGCATTGATAATATTACAGAAAGTTTTGTATATTTTAAGCTTTTTATAGATCATGACTTACAGCTAATGAAAACCCAAATTTATGCCTCAGAAAATGAAAATATTATATTTGTACCACTGAAATATTAAAAGTTATGGTTCTGTTATGGCCTACACAATCATAAAGAAGACAAGTGAATGTTAATGCCTCAAAAGGTTTCTGCATTCAAGGGTTTTATGGTATGGGAAGTTGAGTGGAAGGAAAACATGTCGTCAGAAAATGTGCAGAAACCACAGGCGTAAGAATCAACACATTCAGTAGTTATTCGCATGAACTGGAGACTGATTTCAGTTTCCAGCAGAGCATCACACTTGATCAAATACCTGCTTTAGTAACATTTAATAACCACTGTGCAAAAAATGGCTCTTTGGATATATATATATATATATATATATATATATATATATATGTGTGTGTGTGTGTGTGTAGCTGAATATTGTGTATTTTTATTAGATATATTTTCATTACTGAAATGATTACAGTTTTTAATTGATTATTAGTCTGCGTCCTGGTGAAAAGACTTTGGCTTTAATTTCTACAAGGAATAATGAATCAAAATTAATGTTTTCTATTGTGATTTTAAAATGATTTTTATGTATTTATTGTGATATTTCTTGTTTTATATATTTTCTAAAACTCCCGTCTCGGTGTTCGGCGCTGCAGTTCCGCAGGTGTCCACTGGAGGGCAGTGGAACACCGCAGTCCCGGGCTGCAGGTTTTAAACCAGCACAGCTTTGCAGGCCAGTGCGGATTGAAGTGGGATCCACTTATCTTGTGTTTGTATGTCTTCTGATGCATATCATAATTCCTAATGAAACCGACATATATGTTTTATGCGTCATACATAGTGTTGCAAATTCAGCCATATTTAAATCCTGCGAATAATAATGTTTGATTTGAAAATTATTATATATACCCAAGATGTAGGAGGTTTTCACTTTCAATAAATAACCTGTGATGCTCAGATAGTAACTGTTTAGAAAAAACAAATAATTGTCGACAATTATGTTTTAAATAAATTATGAAAGTTATTCAAATTAAAATGTTATTCTGGGTTCCACAGGAAATTCGGCAAAAGCAACAACACACGTAGGAGAAAGCATTATTATGAAAAAACATTTAAAAAAGAAGAAAACATAAATATGTAGATGTGTGTGTTTTTCTCTGTAAACATAACTCCAAATTATTCATGGAAAATTCACAAATTTCTCTGTAGAGCATTTCTAAAATAATGCAGTTTGGTAAATTGAAATACATTTGTGCAAAGTTACTTTGTCTAATTGGCTGCCATTTGTAAATCAGCCAATCCAGGAGCACCATTTATTGTCCTTGGCGCTGATTGGCTGAACCCAGCGGAAGGAAGATGATGGATGTTAGCTTCTGTGGTGCAGCAAAGACGGTTTCCACTGTGGGTATTAAAGTATATTATCATATATTTGCTGTTTGAAATCAGGATGGATTTGATTTTTTTGTCTATTTTGATTTAGACCATTTTATGCTTCCAAGACTTTTATCGGTGTAATTACAAAACTGCTGCTAAAATAAAAAAATAAAGTTAATTGCTCTGATATACCAGCAATTAAGTTGTAATATGCTTGAAATGAAACGCTGAGGTTCCTCAAGCCGAGCTGGTCCAGAATGGTGTCGGATTAATTCACTGAAGGAGTTTAGAGGTCGTGTTGCAACTCAGGCTGAAACGATTAATCGTGATTAATCAGTTGCTGAAATAATCATCAAATAAATTAATCGATTAACACATTCAGAGCAGTAATTAAGTCAAAACTGAGCAAAAGTATTTACATTATGCATATAAGATAAAAAATATCTTTTTTTAAAAACATTTTAACAAGAACTCCTCATGTGGCTTAGCTTCAAATTCTTAAGAAGATTTCCTATTAAGCACCTTTTGCAATCATTAATCGGTTAATCCAACTATAATCAATAAATCTACATCATACTAATGTTAAGTCCAGCTAATTTTTTATATGTTGATGTTAGAAGTAAATTTCATCTGAATTTACATGATTTTCTAAAAAGGTTCAAGCCTAAAGAAATGCTATATTACTGTATTTTAAACAATCAGATGTTTATTTTCTTATTTTACATATTTTAATGTATTTCTAATATTGGCTTCAATGAAAACTTTGCTGAAATTTGTGTATCCGATGAATCGATTAATCGACACAGAGGAGAATCATTCAGCTTCTTT